TAAACTGGAGACTGCTTGGAGAAGTCAGGTGACCTTAAAATGTCTACACTCTTTCTGACCTTGCATTTTCTCTAAATTCTTCATTCTTCCAACATTAATTGTGACTGTTAAGGAATAAACACTGTGGTGAGCACAGAAACAGTAAGGAATGAGTACGGTACAGAGGAGTATGTGGTGGAAACCTGCCTATTCTTCCTCTCCTTCCTCCTTGGCAGATCCAACCTTTGCTTGAAAAGGCGATGTGCCCAGTTAGATACTTGTTATCAGACTCTCCTCTGCAAGCAGTGTTTGATATAAAAATGTAAAACCAACACCAGTGAGGGAGTTTCTAAGAAAATTTTCATGTCCCTATTAAAAGGTGACATATCCCTGGCAACATCCTCTATCATCCTGTCTTGAGGTGAGAGGTGTTACATGGGACTGGCCACCATAAAGAAAAAAAGATTAAAGAATTACAGAGATAATAGTTTAACACTGGTCTGATGCACCAATTGCAACTGTATATTACAGGTCTTGTTATGTGAGCAATATTAATTTTCATTTGCTTAAGCTCATCTCAGTTTAGTATCACATTTCTTCAAGCCAAACATATTCCTACTTTATAGAGAGACAAATATGCAACAGATAAGTATTGTGGAGCTGCAGGAGCAGAGATAAGGAGGAAGGGAAAGTCAGAGATAGGGAAAGAATCAGAGAGGGTGGTATTATGAAATACAAGGCAGGAGAGAGCTAGTGAAATAAAAATAGCTTTTGCAATGAGGAGGTCCAAGGTGATTTTTTGACAGAGCAGTATCTATGGTATAGCAGTGGAGAGAGACTGTAGAAGGATGAAGATTAACTGGGAAATGAAGAAAGGAGAGAATAACTTTGATGAAGGGTTAGCAAACTATGGCCCACTGGACATACCTGCCTTACCACCTAGTTTTGTAAATAATGTGTTATTGAAACCCAGCCATCCCCATGCATTTCAATATGGATTATAGCTGCATTTAGTGCTAAAATGGTTGAAATGAACACGAGACAGATACTGTACAGTCCGCAGAATATAAAATATTTATTCTGTGGTCATTCAAAGAAATAATTTGCTGATCTCTGATTTAAACCGTTTTTCTAAATGTGTGACTGTGCAAAGGAACAAATGGTCAAGTAGCTAGAAAGAGATATAAAACTGAAGGTTTTACAGAGATGGGGAAGACTCTCTAAGGGAGCTGTCAATATATAGGAAGGAAGTGAAACACTGGAGAGAGGTTCACTAGAGACACGGAGTTGCAGGCTGACCTGTCTGACCAGGGATGCTTATAATAAATTTACAGCAGGAGCATATGAGGGAAGATCTATAAGATACTCAGAACCCACTCTTTGTACACCGTAGAAAAAATGAGGTTAAATTGAGAGGGGATATTTTGACATTTGGACTCTGTGGGCCACAGTTTCACCACCAGTAAAGTGAATATTTATCTGGAAACAGGAAAAACTAACCAATCAAGAATTGTGCATCATTCTGCAACTATGAAATGTTTATAGAAAGCAGGTTATCTTTATAGAAAGCAGGTATCAGGCACAGTGAACACATGAATCATGTAACTGCACAAAACCTACACAGATGGGTTTAAAATGTTTCCTGAAAAACAAAAAATGGAAGAGAACCTGGACCCCTGGCCCAGCATACAGGAAGTGGAGCAGGTCCCCAGCTAAGGTCTCTAGGCCCCAACTAGGCATCAGTGACCTCCAGACTCACCAGTAAGAACCCTGAACCCCTGGCTCGGTGTGGAAAGTGGCACAAGTACCCTAAGGTGCTCTCTGGCACCAGCAACTCCAAGAACAGTCGGTAAGAATCTTGGTCCAGTGCAAGGGCAGAACTAGGCCTGGTGAAAGCCACACCCACAGCAGTGTGGCACTGAAAGCAAACAATAGGGAGATGGTAAAGCACAAAAAATAGCCACATGAATATTCTTGGGAATACTATAGCAAAGAGAGAGAGCAAATCTACAAAACCCAATCACAAAGACATGGATGATCTATTCTCCCTATCAGATACAGAATTTAAACTTGCCATGATAAAGAATTTCGAAGAACACAGAAAAAAACATAGAAAAGTAGATCAAAGATACAGAAGAAAATTCAGAAAAACAAATGAATGTCCTAAGTAAATTAATGAAAAGAATAAAAATTATATTCTAAGAAAACACAATTGCAGTATATAAAAAGATCAATAGAGGGATTGAAAAATATTGCAGGAAGCTATGAAAACAGAATAAACTAAATGGGAGAGAGAATCAGTGAACCTGAAAATGAGAATATAAAGATGAAAGGTAAAAGAATGAAAGGCAGAAGAAAACAAACCCCCCAAAAAAGAAGATATACTTCAAGAATTATCTAACTCCGTAATAAAGGTAATATAAGAATAAAGGATATCCTAGAGGGGTAAGAGAGAAAGGAACAGAGAATTTATTTGAAGTAATAATAGAAGAAAAATCCTGAATTTGGAGTAGGAAATAAATACATAACTCTATGAGATTAAAAGAACACGTAGGTACCTAAACAAAAAGAGACCTACACCAAGATATAAAATATTGAAGCTTCCAAGAGTTCAACACAAAGCATATTGAAGCCTATGAGGGAGAAAAGGCAGATAATAAATAAAGGAAACCCGATTAGGCTAATACCAGATTTCTTTGAACAAACACTGCAGGCAAGGAGAGAATGGGATGATGTGATCGAAAAACTTAAAAACCTGCCAACTAAGAATACTCTTTCCTGAAAGGCTCTTCAGATATGAAGGAGAAGTAAAGGCCTCATATAAATAGAAACTGAAGGAGTTAGTAAAAACTGAACCCTACCACATTCAAAAAATATTAAAAGGGAGCTCTATACCTAAGCCAAAAAGAGGAACACCCACAAATAATGGAACAAGGAAATATAACAATAAAATTAAGGATAAATGGTAGCAACAGATTTTTATTTATCAACAATCCAAATGTAAATGGACTAAACACACCAATTAAAACACACGAAGTATCTGGTTGGATTAGGAAACAGAATCCAAATTTCTGGTGCCTCCAGGAGACACACCTAAGCTATAAAGATAAACACAGACTCAAATTAAAGGGTGGAGAACAATCCTACAAGCAAATGTGACACAAAAAAAGATGGGGACAGCCATACTTAAAACAGACAAAAGAGATTTCCAGTTAAAAGAAAAAGGTAATGAGATAGGGAAGGACACTATATAATGAAAAGTGAGTAATACATCAAGAAGACATAACACTCACTAAGGTATACTTACCAAATGAAGGAGCACCAAAATATATTTGTCAACTACTTTCAACTCTGAAAACAAAACAATGGGAAAAAACACCTTTGTGGTAGGAGACTTCAGTAACTTACTCTCACCAATGGTCAACAAGAAAATGAATAGGACACAATAACCCCAAACTAAGAATGAGACCAAGTGGACTTAACAGACATCAATAGGGCCCTGGGCCCTACGAAAGCAGAATACACATTTTTCTCAAGTGCACATGTGACATTCTACAGGACTGACTGCATACTGGGTTGCCAGACAAGAAGCAACAAATTCATGAAGACTGATATACCAAGCACCTTATAGTATAAAACCAGAAATCAACTACAAAAAGAAAGTAGAGAAATCCTCTAACAAGCAGAGACTGAACAACACAATACAGAAAGACTACTAGGTTAAAGAGGAAATCAAAGAAATCAAAAAAAGCTTGAGAAAAATAACAACAAAGGCGCAACTGTATAAAAGTTATAGGATATGGCAAAAAACAGTACTAAGAGGAACACTACAAGCCCACATCAAGAAACAAGACAAGAGCTAAAATAAACAACATTTTCTCTCCTCTCAAGGAACCAGAAAAAGAACAAACAAATCCAAAAGCTAACAGAACAAGAAATTTCAGGCTTTGCCACTTAGTAATACGTGGCCAAGGAAAAATCCTTTAACTTCTTAATCTATAACACAAGAGATATCAACACCACTTTGCAGGATTATTATAAAGATTAAATGAAATAATTATGTTATGTGTTACCTGGCGCTCATTCAATAGCCAGGCAATTTCATGCCTCTAGTAAAACCCATTTGCTACTGCTCAGCCACAGTAATTTTTCCGAAGCAGAAAAATGATCTTCCTAGTTCAGAACTTAAAATATTTAGGTGGTTTCCATTTGCTCCAAGAAGAATGAGCAAATTCTTTATGATAAACCCTGCAAGTCCAGGCCCTTGCCATACTCTTTTCTTTACTCTCCTGTGCTGCACATGAACATTCTTTATGCTGTCAGAAAATGTAATCCTTCCCATCTCAAAGCCTTCACACAGGCTGAAGGCCTCTTCCTTCTTCCAAATCTTCTCTACCTAGTTAACAACATCTAACTTCTTTGGCAAAAAACTTTTTCCATCCTACTGACTGCGTCAGGTCTTCTGACAATGCTTCTTTTACCTCTGTGTCTGCCTTGTAATGATATTTGTGCTGATTTACACTATATCTCGCACAGTAAGAGGCAAAAACTGTTCCCTTTGATTACTAGTGAATTCCCAGGACTCAATGCCAAGCAAAATGCCTGACCCAGTTTAGAAGCTTAAAACTTTTACCGAGTAAATGTATCAAAGTTCAGAAGACGACTGGGAAGTACTAATTATTGATCTGGACAGTACTTCTCTGCATCACTTAACCACATTCTGTGATGTGTGCTTATTATTTGATTTTTCCTTTCCTTGCTGAATTTTTAGCTTTCTATATACAGTCTCCAATGTTTCACTGCCTCCATGTGATAGTGGCTAAGTGGCGATGCTCCACTTAGAAAAAATGGCATGAAATGTAGAGTATTAAGAAACCTGAATAGAAACAGAGAGAATGGTGAACACTAATTTGAAGGCAGCCATGATTTGAAAATAGGTTTCATGCCCTAATCTTTCCTTCTCAGGAGCATTTAAGTTGCATCTTTCTTTGTTGAGAAGGATCTGACAAGACAATACTTACTTGTTCCCATGAAGAAATCATATGACGTTCAGCAGGTGCTTTTTCTATTATGGTCACCTCTGTCACCCCTGGGGAAGATTCTGGAAAGGGAAAAAGAATATACATAGAGTTGCAATTGGTCCACTCTTACACATTTCTACACTAGACATAAACAATCTGTTCATTATTGCTCTAGTAAAAGCAGGAAAGACCCAATCAGTCTCTCAAAGGCACTCAGTCTCCTAACCTTGGACCATGCAATTTACATTTTTGGAATGTGCCCTACACTCACCATTCTGCTTGCTGAACAAAGACCAGAGAGTCTAGATTTCTGCAAGTCCACATATTCTTATGATTCTTCAAAAGAAATAATAATAGGGGACTCCCCGGTGGCGCAGCGGTTGAGTGCTGGGTTGCGAAGCTGCCCGTGGCCTCTGAGGCGCCAGTTCGATCCCCAGCCCCAGGGTGAGGGTCCCACATGGTGTGCAGACCTCTCCTGCCACCCGCTGCTCCCCTCAGCAGGGTACTTCATCAGTCTGCCTGTTCTGCTCTCCGCTCTGGCTCTGGTGAATTCTCTCACCCTCCTGCATTTCTGACTGTACCCCAGTGCTTGTATAAATAAATCTTTAAAAAAAATAATAGTACCTCAACAACTTTTATAAGATATAAAACCTGCTTGCCAATTTTTCTTCTAAATAAAACCCACCTTCTATTCTTTGAGCTCTAGGATTTAGAAGCCAAGACAATATGATATAAAATGGGTTCTGTGCAGAAATATACTGAAAACAAAGTCATTTCAAAATCTTCAAAGCAGAAAAAGGTCTCCAAATAATCTCCTCTCTCCAGTTCTAGTATTCATGCTGACGTAAAAGAGAAGCCACCTAAGTGGAGATACAATGGATTTTAATAACTCTTCCCACATTCTCCACTTGTCCGTGTTCACCCAGAATCAAGATCTTAAAGTCCTTAATCTAAGACATAAAATATGTAAGTTAAATTGCCCAGAACCCCAGAAAATAACCTGTGATTCAGATGTACTTAGTTAAGATTAAGTCATACTCAAATATAAGCCAGCTAAGAATACTTTATCTGGTTAAAGCTCTCCTTTCTATATGAAGGAACAATAAGGACCTTTCAGACAAACAAAACCTTTGGAAATTTCCTACAACTAAATCCCCACCCCAAGTAATATTACAAGCAGCCTTATTATCTAAATCAATAGAGGAATGACCACAAAAAAACTGAATAAGGAATTAAATAGAACCACAAAAAGACGAACAAAACAGCAGTAACAGACTTCCACATATCAATAATTACCCTAAACTTTATTGGACTAAACTCACCAATAAAAAGATACAGTGTAGCATGTTGGATTGGAAAACAGAATCCAACCTTCTATTGCCTCCAGGAAATAAACCTAAATTCCAGAGATAAACACAGTTTCAAAGTAAAGAGTTAAAAACAATTCTACAAGCTAATGGCCCCCCAAAGGAGGCAGTCATATTTCATCAGATAAAACAAACTTTCAGCTAAAAGAGGTGACAAGAGACGTGGATGGACAGTATATTATGAACAAAGGGGCAATACACTAAGATGACATAACATTCATCAAAATATTCTCACCCAACGTGAGAGCACCAAAAAACATTAGAAAATTACTATTGTTTCTGAAAAGAGACACTTGAGCAAATATGTATGTGACAGGAGACCCCAACACCCCACTCTTAGCAATGGACAGATCAACAAGACAGAAAATATACAAGGGCACAATAGCCCTAATAAAAGGTCTAGACCACATGGGCCTAACAGACCCTCCTAAAACTGAACAAACTTTTTCTCAAGTGCACACGGATTATTCTTTAGGATCAACCACATACTAGGGCATGAGACAAAGTTCAACAAGCATATGAAGACTGAGATCATAGAAATAAACTGGAACCCCCCCCCCCATTACATGGCGACTAAACAACATGCTACTGAAAGACCACTGGGTTAATGAGAAAATCAAAGAATTAAAAAAAAAAAAACCTTGAGGGCCTCCCCAGTGTTGCAGCGGTTGAGCGCTGGGTTGCGAAGCTGCCCGCAGCCTCTGCGGCGCCAGTTCGATCCCCGGCTGCTCCCCGGCCACCAGAGGAGGGTCCCACATGGCGCGCAGACCTCTCCTGCCGCCCGCTGCTCCCCTCAGCAGTGTACTTCGGTCCTTCTGCCTGCTCTGCCCCCAGCTCTGGCTCTGGTGAATTCTCTCACCCTCCTGAGCTTCTGACTGTACCCAGTGCTTGTATAAACAAAACAAACAAACAAACAAATAAATAAAACATGCCTCTATTAAAAAAAAAAAAAAACTTAAAAAAAAAAAACCTTGAGGCAAATGATAATGAGGACACAGCCATGGGACATAACAAAAGCCTAAGAGAAAAGTACATAGCAATACAGGCCCAATCAGGAAACAATCTAATCTCCCATCTTGAGGAACTAGAGAAACAACAACAAAACAAAAGCAAGTAGAAGGAAACAAAAGGTTTTAAAGCAGAACTAAATGAAATAGCAATAAAAAAGACAGCCCAAAAGAGCAATGAAACCAAAAGTTGGTTCTTTGAAAAAAATAAACAAAATAGACAAAATTCTAACCAGGCTCACAAAGAAAAAGAGGGAGAAAACTCCAATAGGATCAAAAATGAGAGGAGAAATTACAACACAGCAGAAATGCAGAAAATAGAGATTATTACGAACATTTATATGCAAACAAGTTCAACAATCTAGATGACATGAACAAATTCTTAGAATTATACAATCATCCAAGGCTGAACAAAGAAAAAAAATAGAAAACTTGAACAAACCAATCACAAACAAGGAATTTGACACTGTAATCAAAACCCTCCCAAAAAACTGAAAGCCCAGGACCACATGGTTTTGTTAGGGGGAAAGGATGTCCTAAGATAATCTCATACAGGCTTTGTGGACTCCACCCCCACTCCAGACTAAAGCCATCAGGACATTGGGAAAGACAAATCCCATCACCACCAAGGGGAGGGTGGCTGGGACCTGAGGGTGGAGTTGGGCAGCCAGGTTGGATATAAAAACCAAACACGTGGGCCTTGCTCTCTCTCTGGCTCGCGATCGCTCGCCTCCTGGCTTCACCGCTCCTGGCTGGCGGCCAGCTCTCAGAGCGCCATTTTGGGATTCCTGATCGGCGGATCGGGTAGGACTCATTTAAAACTTTGTCTCCCACTTTTCTCCCAGAGCTGTACATTTCCTCATTTCCCTTTCCCTTGTAAATAAACCTTTTATTAACCTTTCACGTGTGCCTGCAGTAGAGCATTAATAAGTCCTTTTAAGCGCGCGGGTGAGGACCCACAGTCAGGCACCCCGTTTTGTATCGGGGCTGCTCTACAACAGTTTGGCGCCCAGCGTGGTTTCCAAGTTACACCCGCGGTTGACCAGCCCAAAGTAACATTCCTTGCGTTGGTCACCATAAGCGCACTAGTTCTGCAGGACTAGCAGTATAATATTTGTCAGGCTTTGTGGACTCCACCCCCACTCCAGACTAAAGCCATCAGGACATTGGGAAAGACAAATCCCATCACCACCAAGGGGAGGGTGGCTGGGACCTGAGGGTGGAGTTGGGCAGCCAGGTTGGATATAAAAACCAAACACGTGGGCCTTGCTCTCTCTCTGGCTCGCGATCGCTCGCCTCCTGGCTTCACCGCTCCTGGCTGGCGGCCAGCTCTCAGAGCGCCATTTTGGGATTCCTGATCGGCGGATCGGGTAGGACTCATTTAAAACTTTGTCTCCCACTTTTCTCCCAGAGCTGTACATTTCCTCATTTCCCTTTCCCTTGTAAATAAACCTTTTATTAACCTTTCACGTGTGCCTGCAGTAGAGCATTAATAAGTCCTTTTAAGCGCGCGGGTGAGGACCCACAGTCAGGCACCCCGTTTTGTATCGGGGCTGCTCTACAACAGTTTCACAAGTGAGTCCTACCAAACATTCAAAGATGAACTAATGCTTACACTGCTAAAACTCTTCCAAAACGTTGGGAAAGAAGGAATACTACCAATATATCAGACTAATACCAAAGCGAGGAAAGACGCACGCGCACACACGCACACACACACACTCTACAGACCAAGCTCCCTAGTGAGCATGGATGCTAAAATCCTCAATAAAACCTTAGCAAACCAAATCCAACAACACATGCATCAAAAGGATTATACACCACGACCAAGGGGGATTTATTCAAGGGACACAAGGATGGTTCAACATCTGAAAATCAATTAACATATTTCACCACATCAACAAAAAGAGAAATACAAACCATACGATCATATCAGTAGATGAGAAAGCATTTAATAAAGTTTAACATCAATTTATGATGTAACTTGGGATAAAAGAAACATATCTTAACATAATAAAAACCATCTATGCCAAACCCACAGCTAACATCATTCTCACCAGTGAAAACTGACAGCCTTTCCACTAAAATGGAACAAGACAAAGATGTCCACTCTCACCACTGCTTTTCAATATAACACTGGACTCCATAGCTAGAGTAATTAGGCAAGAGAAAGACATAAAAGGAATCCAAATTGGGAAAGATTAAAGCTGTTTTTATTTGCCGATGATGATATATATTGAGAACCCTCAAAAATCTATGGAAAAAAATAATTAACACAATAAATCAGTTCAGTAAAGTAGCAGGTTATATAGTCAATACACAAAAATCAGCAGCCTTCCTATATGCAATCAGTCTGAAAAGGAAGAAATTAAAAAGACCATCTGATTTACAGTTGTAAAAAAAATTAAATACCTGGGAATAAACCTAACAAAGGAGGTGAAAGACCTATACAAGGAAATTATAAAACATTGTTAAAAGAAAAAGAAGACAACTCAAAGAAATTGGAAAGACATTCCCTGCTCATGGATCAGAAGAATCAACATTATCAAAATAGGCATTCTACCAAGCAATTTATAGGTTCAATACAATTCCATTAAAAATTTCAATGACATTTTTCAAAGAAATGGTACAAGTATTTCTGAAATTCACAGGGGATCACAAACCAACAAAAGAACACATACCAAAAATAGCCAAAGCCCTCCTGAC